CGGGTGGGGGGGGGTGGGTAGTTGCCAGCTACAATGTAGCAAAAAGAAAATAAAACATAAATCAGAAGAAATGGCTCCATTACCAGAACATGTATACGGCCTTGTATTTGATAGATGTAACTAAATGCAAATCAAATTCCAGAAATACCTCAGAAGGTTTTTGATCTTCATGTCTGGAACACGAAGTCCTCCGATGTCGAGATCTGGAATGCTGGGACCAGGTGGACAGACCTAGGACACAGAAATGATCATTTGCAGGCACCACTGCCATCTATCATTAAAAGCCTTTGCTCTCTCTACATACCAAAGAACGCCAATTGACTTCAGTGGGACTATATGAGTAAGGTAAGTAAGTCAGGCTTCTACTACAAACCTCCAAAATTTCTTTCAAAACGAACCAGAAAATAAAAGTTACTCAGTTGTAAACTTCTGTGATCATTGCTCTGGCTTTGTTTTGTTTATAATTTTCTACTGATACATGCACATATTGGCTGCACCGCACTTACCAGCCTTCCACTCAGCATTTGAAGAAAGCTACCTCATAACATGCTCCCCCGCTGAGCATCAATAAACCGCTTTCTGCAGATTAATAACTGACCTGGAGCTCTGCCGACAGCCTGAGATGCACTCTTTGGAGCTAATGTATTGATGTCCTAAATATCTGTATCCGTTACCCAGTTTTTACCAGAGCAAGCCTCTTCAAAATGAAGCACACTGCCATGCACACACAGCAGAGTCTACAAAACAAACTGTTGTCTCTTCTCCCCAGCAACTCTCTCTCAGTGTGGCTGTACAACTTTGCACAATTATTCATTACATTCCAAACAAATCATACCTTTTTGCCTTGAAAGCTCTTGACAGACTCTGTCAGCTTTCAGAAATATTGTTACAGGAGAAAAGGAAAAAGAGAAAGAATCTACACTCCATTGACCAGGTAGTGCTTTGCCACCGGAGTATATTACACCTGTGCAAATCAACTGATTTTAATTCAATACGATTTACAGGCACAGCAGGTATTTTGCACTGCCAACTACACCGCAGTAATGAAAAAAACCCAATAAATCCTTACAGGTTGGAGAGATGAAGGACTTGTAATAAGGTCTAATGATAGAGAAGTTAGGACCTGTATGTTGAACTCTGAAGGATGAACACAGATTTTGCAACTCTGGGCATTAACAATAGACAAACAAAACAGAATCGATGCAAAGGCCTTCCCACACTGCTCATTTCTTCACTGCCTGTGCACATAGATGCTAGGAGTAAAATGTGTAAGGTTACACTCCGTAAGAGCAACAGCACCTCACATCATCCAGTTGAAACCTCTTGGGAATCAGAAAGCACTGGTCAAAAACAGATTGCAAAGGACGGGGTAAGTTCTCTATCAGAAACAAAAGTAATTTTCAAAGTGAAGTGACTGTCCAAGACTTTCATTGGAAAGATATGACTGAGTAACAAGTAATCAGAAGACTCTGTTACACTGTTACGCTGTAGTTATGCTTTTGTCTTCTCTTTTCAGTTAGTAATACAATAAGGAATTTGCCCCAATAAAAACCACTCTGTAACACAGCAACGAATAACAGAAATGGTCAAAATTGAAGTATGGTACGCAGCAAACAGCTAAAAATCTTACCTTCTGAGGTAAGAATATAGAAAAGATCATTTCAAGCAAATGTTAGTGTTTTAACATAAAAGCTGGTGATTTCAAAGGTTTTTAAAAAGTCATGGGCACTTTTCCTAAGCCCCTCTATTTTATAATTTTCTGTTTCTATGAAGAGGGGGGGAATAAAAAAGGAGAGGGGGGAAGTGACTAACTGCCTTTTACTAACCCATGTGGAAAGCCAGACTCCCAAGATGGTTTAACTACCGTTCCATTTAAATGTTCCCTCGAAAACTAAAGAAAAAAGTCAAGTAGTAGCATAAACTGAAGATCCTATCAGCCCGTACCCAAGCTCAACCTAAAAAAGTCAGAGGGGAATAAGGGAAATCACTCAGAAAGTGTCACATATACAGCTAAAGTTCACGACAGAAAAACAGATTTTTCCTGCAATATAACAATATAAGTATTAACATTTTGACATTCCAACAGATGTGATTTCTTTAATCAACAGCCTCACTAGAAGACATAGACCACATACATGCCTACACAGATTCGTATTCAGTTCTCGTGGGTTCTGGTATTTTCCATCGGTGAGACATTAATGTCTGACCAACTATCTGCCACTGAGGGATTCAGCCAGTTAGACCACTGTATCACTACGTGAGACACTTTGAAATTTCTAATTCATTTGGGATCTGACTGTTCTGTACACTGTTGGACCTGGGGAAGGGAGCCTGCCTACAAGATAAGGAATTAAGAACAAGCAGCTGTACTGGCAAAGTGGTGGTTGATTCTGAAGTTTCTGTGCGAGAAGAGCTGGTGAGCCTGCAGGCTCTAATACAGTTGCTCCCAAGCAATGCATGCATCTGGCAAATTAGAGCAGTAGCAGTATGGTGTGCTCCTGGATCCTTACCCATGTGCTTTAATTCAGCTCCCATGACAGCTTGAGGACAAGTAAGCAAGTGTATGGGCTTCTTTTTCTTAAACGTGGGTATTAAAAGATGGATTTCCAGGTCTCTCTCACGCCACAGAGCAGCTACAAAGGTGAGGATTAAAATAATCCCTACCATATCTTCCATCTCCATTTGTTTACTGTGTCATCTGCAGATGCTACACACCAAAACAGTGTCTTTAACGTGTACTTTTAGACACATATCACGTACACAAGGGTTAGGTCACTGGATTAACTATCTATTCCACGCAACATGAAAGATCAACTCTTCGCACCAAACCACAGAATCTTCATTTTAAATTACTTTTTTAAAGCACTACACAAAAGCACACTACATAAAATTTCCACATATAAGGGATAACTCAAACATAGCCAGTCTTCCTCAGGATATATTATAAGTATTTTTTCCATGCCAACTAACTTCCTACAATGAATATTGGAAGAAATAGTTTCTTGCATAGTTCTGTAATAGCCATTTCCTTGCACATAAAATTGGTGAATGCACAGTGAAAACCCACAATGTTTTTAGTAAGTCACTGAAGAGACTGTTGCATTTTTTTGAGCAGTGTAAACTGACTGTACATAATACTAGGAGAAAAAGGTGGAAGAATTTCTCAAGGGACTGAGATTTTACTACCCACTAAGATCTGTTACTGTAGCTAACAGATGACCTTTGGCAAGGGTTTCACTTCAATAGGGGAAACATTTACTCACTGAATAAACAAAACCCAACTATAAGGCACACATTCACAGATTCAAACCACCACCACCACTTACACACAAAAGTGCAAGAAACTGAAGGAGCCAGCCAAATGATAGTAAAATACTCAGTCCATAACAGTATTAAATTTAACTACTTTTAAAATCTCAAATAAGAGTTTCAACTCTGCTTCCATTAAAGTTAGTGGCAAAATATCACTGCCTTCAACAGTGCCAAGACCAGCTCACTGAATTACCCAAAGCTGCTTTCATTAATAAGCAATGCACCCACTCTGAGTATACCAATAGACGTGCAGGAGGAAAATTAAGGATGTTATTTGTCTTTTAAGCATCCTTTCCATATTTTCATACCTAATCCAGAAGAGGGACCTCACTGAATGAAAAAGTTCACAGGCAATTACAGCTACTTCAGTGATTAATGATCTTTTACATCTAAATACATGAAGTAAGAACCATCCCTGGATTACATGAAAGGAACAAACTACTGTGATCAAAACAGATTCAAAACAGCTCCTCTGTGTTATAAAAGCACATGAACCTAACTGAGTTGTTTTAGAAAGATTCCAGACACGTTTCACCAAAATTATCCTCTTTATGCAAAATTACTACATTCATCAACCGTTTTCTGAATACTAGCCTTAGTCCCAAACTGGATTAGGATCACCAAGACCAGAAAAACAACTAAAGATTAAGACACAGTTCTGCTAAAACAACAAAAAAAACCCACATAAGGGAAGTCTGAATCACTGTGATTTGGAAGATGTAAAACTTTTCTAAGATAACATTACATACTTCACGGAAGAAGTAAATTCTACAGCAGATGGAAAATTAATGAGATGTTAAGAGAGCCTGTACTACCAAAAGCCATGTGAATAACAGTAAGTATGAAAAATACACAACTCTAAGGCACGAAGCTAAATAAACACATCTGAAGCATGCAGCACTATCATCATCAGACATCAGAGATAAACGGTGTCTTATTAAGTGCCTATCCTGTTACAGGATTGTGCAAGTTAAGGATTAACATAGTAGCCTAGCTAGCATCACCGCTCCAGGAGATACACCAAGATCATTCTGACTCTCTTACAGTTAGGATCCTTTCAGATGGCCTAGGTGTTCATATGTTTTTTCCTTACTGCGAACAACGGGAGGAGGATCATACTCTTGACTACATGCCTCAAGTTTTCCCTTTGCGTTTACCCACTTACAGACAAAAAGCAAAAAGAAATCCCAAACCACTAACAAGGTATAATTCACAGCAAGAGAGGCAAAGCTCTAACACACTACTCCTGCTGGAAAGGTGACGACTTCTAAGACTCAAGTAGGAAAACTTTCTGGTCCCCTAGGCTATTATAGACACCTACCTTACACTGTAAATACAGTGCTTTTATAATACCACTACAGAGTGTAAACAACATGTACACCTCTTGATAATACAAGCAAGCAAACAAGGAGTGTGAATTCCTTTTCCGTATTTGTGAAAAACGCTTCCCAAAAGAAAAAACGTGATCAATTTTAACTGTATCAATTTATTAAATGATCTGTCAAGAATATGTTTCTATGCCAAAAACGCCCATCAAAACAGAAAATTCCTTGGGACCAATAAAGCAATTCAAGCCCTCGGGGAATTCTACTCCACAACTAATACGCTACTCAGCATGAGCAGAAAAGGCTCAGCTATTCTGTACCACACACAAGGCTGTTGTAAAGCCACCTGCAAGGCACTCAGCTGTGTCCCTGGAGAACTACCTGCTGCTACAGCCGCTGAACACTTCAAAGCCTCAGATCACCGGGCATCTGAGAGCACTTCTCCCACCCTAAATACACTCCTGTTACACCCTTACACCAGGCAGCACAACAGAGCAAAACATAAAATCATAGAATCATTATGGTTGGAAGAGACCTCAAAGATCACCAAGTCCAACCATACACCCAATGCCACCATGCCCGCTAACCCCACTA